TTTCGTGCCGGAAACCCACCGGAGACTCTGTCAGGGTACGTACCGCATCAGCCGCCGGAGATCGGCGGAGAAGCTGACCACCAGGCACTATCAGATTCCCGGCTGCAGCAATTTGGGGAGGGCTTTCTTTTTCCGGGTGAAGGAGTGCTTTTGGGGTTTCGGGGCCTTGGGGGCTCCGTTTATAAAAATAGGGCTCCGAAGAATTTTAGCCATGTCCGTTCTTATCCTGATACCAGTCGGTGAACATGGAACCTTTAACCCCAAACTGAAAGCCCCAAGCCCTAAGCCTCTAGACACCCCTCCTCGACCCTGAACCCGAGGCCCTGAGCCCGAAACCCTAAACACCCTAAGCCCTAAACCCTGAACCCTAAAGCCTTAAATCCTTAAACCCTAAACCCTAAACCCTGAACCCTGAACCCTGAACCCTAAAACCCTAACCGCTCAACCCTGAACCCTAAAACCTAAACACCCTAAACACGCTAAACACCTTAAACACCCTAAACGCTCAACCCTAAACCCTAAACACCCTAAACACCCCAAACACCCTAAACACCCTGAGCACGCTAAACACCCCACAGTCCCCAGGTCCGGGAAGCTGAACCCTAAACCCTAAACCCTCAACCCTAAACCCTCAACCCTAAACCCTAAACCCTAAACCCTAAACCCTAAACCCTAAACCCTCAACCCTAAACCCTCAACCCTCAACCCAAAGTCCCCAGGTCCGGGAAGCTGAATTTCAAGTGGGGCCGAAAGCTCCGAGGGGCGGCTGGGACGAAGGGTCCAGGTTGTTTAGGGTTCCGGGGCCAGGGGTTTAGGGGTTTAGGGGGTTTAGGGGTTTAGGGGGTTCAGGGTTTGGGGCTTGGGGTTTAGGGTTTAGGGGTTTGGGATTTAGAGGTTTGGGGTTTGGGGTTTGGGATTTGGGGCGTTTAGAATGGGGCTCTTCATGGCGGTTCTAGAGCGTTCGGCATTCAGGATTCTAATAGAAGGGCCGTCTAGGATCGTTTAAGTGTTTACAAGGTATTCACGTGATTTTGCGGGAAGAAGCCCTAAACCCTAAACCCTAAACCCTAAACCCTACTTTTTGGGACCATGGAGCTCAAAAGGCAAGTTTCTTGTACCAATTAGCGGTCCGACCTCCAGCCTTTCTGTGAAAGTCGTGGCTCTGACGGTTTGGGGTTTGGGGTTCGGAGCTGAGGCTTCAGGGTTTAGGGTTTTTAGGGTTTAGGGTTTGGGGTGTAGGGTTTAGGGTTAAGGGTTAAGGGTTTAGGGTTTCGGCTTTAGGGTGCAGGGTGTAGGGGTTAGGGTGTTTAGGGGTTAGGGTTTCCAGCAAGCCTCACATTTCGTGACTCGGCTGCTCGGATCGTTTAGCTGCATCGCAGAGCCGCAACGTTGCACCTAGGCACTGGGGTTTCAGAGCTGAAAGCACTTTGCATTCGAAAAACTCTAAGCCCTAGGCCCTAAACCGTAACCCCTAAACCCGAAATCCGAAAGCTTGCCTGAAAGCCAAAAAGGAGCGCTGGCGGCAGATTTGGGCCTTTCTCTCCGCCCTGGTCATCCTCCAGGTGCAGCCGGGCGTCACTGCGAAATGTGCAGCTTCTGCTCCATCAATGAACCGATTGATCAGTCAGTCAATCGATCAATAGCTACATGTGTGCGCGTATGTACATGTATATATATATATATATATGTATGCACATGTGTATATATATATATATGTTATATAAATATACATTATTATTGTTGTTATTATTAAAACCTATATTTGTAGAGACAGAGATACAGTCAGAAAGAGAGCATGAAACCTTATGATAACTCTTATATAAACCCTTACGGTAGCCCGCACCGAACCTGTATTGTAGCCCTTACAGAAGCGCCTCATGGCAACCAATACTAAACCCATCTGGTCACCTATACGAAACCCTTACGGTAATTCTTATAGATATCCTTATGGTCAACTTTACGAAACCCTTGTGGTAAGCCTTATACAGACCGTCATGGTGACCGATACTGAACCGTTATGGTGAGCCTTATAGAACCTTCTAGAAACCCTGTTTGGAATTCTTATAAACGGAACCTTTGTAGAACCCTTGTAGAAGCCCTTGTGGGAAACATCAACGGAACCTTACTCCTAACCCTACTGTAACCCTAAACCCCTGAACCCTGCTCCCTGAACGTTTATGGTATCCCTAAACCCTAAACCCTAAACCCTAAACCCTACGCCTTCGCAGGATTGCTTCTCCATCCCCGTATTGGCCTTCGGCAGAAGCCCGACGCCGCTCGGCCCAGAGCTGCCAGAGGCTCCTTTCAGGCTTCGGGTTCCCTTAAGGGTCCCTTTGCCTTAAGGGTTCCTTCAAGGGTTCCCTTAAGGGTTCAGAAGTCGATGGACATGGAAGGGTTTACACAGTCATTGTTGCATGGTCCTTTTGGTGGAGCTTTGGGGAACCATCGGGGCTGACATGCGTCTTACTATTGGCTTCGATGCTGAAGTTGCCACCAAGGATTGCTGGACATACCCCAAAACAAACCCTGAATGTAATAGTTGCTACAGAACCACACTTTGCAACCGAAGCCACCCTGAAATCGAGGCAATTTTGGGCTCGCTTAGAGTTGAGGTTTCAGACATCTTCTTGCGCATGAGGTGAGCAAGCTTAGGATGAGGGGTCGGCCTGTGTTTTTTTTGCGCTGCTAGCAGCCCCTCTGAGCTCCGAGAACCGTGAACAAGCCCGCACAAATCACCTAGAGAGCCGCAGATCCTGATCCTCAGCTCTTTCAGAACCCCCTGCCTTTCTTTGCAACTGTTTGTGCTCTAAGGTGGTTCCTTGACATCCTGGAAGCCGTCTTCTGGACAGCTGCTTTGAGAGAGACCATGGGGGTACCTTCCCGCCTTTTGCAAGCCTTTTTGTACAAGTTGCATGCTGGATAGCAGCGCCTTTTTTTGCGCATATCAGGCTGTTTGGTTCAAGGCTCTGCCTTCTAAGCTGTGTAACCGGCGTCTGTCGCCATGCACCCGAAAGGCGAGCCTCCACTTCCAGGTTCAATCGAAGAGACATGGCCGGATGTGCCGCAACCCACCATGTTCACCCCGGCCCAGGCAAGCACGAGTCTGTTTGCAGCCGGAAGTCCGATGAAGCAGGGAGGGTGGCCTTGAGCTGGCCACCAGCTCTGGCCCGAGACGGTTGGGAGCAGTTTCAAAAACCGCAAGTTGCCTGGTGATGATCTCGTTGGTCTCCGATACAGAACCTAGTGGAATTGGAAATGGGCTGTTGTTGTGCTTTTGCTTGGTGCTCTCCATGTGTACAGATTCCCCTGTGCTCTGTCACGAAACATCGACGAGGGCCGGTCGTAGACGGCAACCAGACCAGGTTGGAGTGCACTATGGGGCAGCCCATTGGACCCCAATTTGGTACTCACTGTTCCTCGTGACAGCCTTCTACTGCTCAATCAGGGGCAGATGGGTCGATGCCGATCGGTACTGGGCACGCAAAGCTTCACACCTAGCTTAATACATTGGCTGCTGGCGAGCCGGATGTTCAGATCGTCATTTGCAAGTCATCTTCATCCTCCTGACTTTATGTGCTGTAGATTCGGTGTTGGTGAGATTAGTGGCCACACCCGAAGTCGGTGGCTTCGACAATGCGCGTGCGGTATGGGGATTGGGATGGCTTGGAAGATGTTTGCAAACCCGGACCCCTACTATTACTATAGCAGTAGGCAGGACCCTTATTCGAAACACCCCAGGTTAGATCGGGTATCCCTTGTTTAACCGACGCTTTAACTGTTTCGCGACAGGAGCTTACTTGGAACAGGGCTGGCCAGTGCTCTTGCTGATGTACTCCCTGTGTCTCTTCGGTGCATTGTTGGACCAGGATGTCATCGGCATGAAACAGCTTCTTGGATGCCTTCTGAAGTTCTCGCAAGAGGGGGTTCCTGAAGTTAGGAGTACCGTATTTAGGGGTCCTTATGCCCTCGCTTCCGAAACTCTCATTCAGTAACCTCCGGATTACTGTCATCCCCTCTTGCAGGCCTAGAGCACTAAATACTATGCTGCTTGTGCTCAGGTTACGGCGAAGCGTGAGGCTAAGCTCAACACCGAAGGGAGACAGAAAACGTGGGCGAAGTTCGTCGACACTTTCCAACCAAGCGCAGATGACACATCCGGGACGCAGGAGGACATAAACGAGATGGTCATAGCTGAGATTTACAAGTTTGCAGTCGGTGACAAGCCCATGCCAAAGTCTGCCTGCAAGAACACTGTGCAACGAAAACTGGCCGGAACAGGCTTCGCCAGGTTCTTGGAAGCCAAAGGATTGACTTTGAAGTGATCGAGACCGAAGCAGGATTCGGGCTGGTGCTGCCCCCGCGGAAGGCATACTGTTGAGTCGGCACATTTGAGCAGTGAACGAGCTCCTGTTTTGACATGTCAAGCATTAATTTCAGAACCCAGCCGGTTTTCTGACGTTTCGAAGACAGCGAGACAGGATTCGGAAGACTTCAGCGACGGCTGGTGCTGCTCCCGCCGAAGGCACTCTGAAAGCACTTTTGAGTGTTTCAAATATGTGCTAGAAGCATCCGACCGGGATGCTTCTGGCAGCTTTGTCCCAAACCCAGCCCCACGACAAGTGAACGAGCTCGTGTGTTGACATGTCAAGCCTTCATTTCAGCACCCAGCAGGTCTTCTGACGTTTCGCACGAGTCTCCGGAGAGACTGGCAGGATTTCGAAGAAGCTTTGCGGAACAATGCGGGGAAGGGGAAGGCTTCAACACCGGAGCAGGTCAGAGCCGCGTTCCAGCTCGTTGCTGCAGATGCAGTGCCACGAGGGGTGGCTGGAAAGATGCTGGACAGCAAGCTCGAGAAGACTAAGGGTGGGTACCGCTTTCCTGAGAGCTCGGAAGCCGGAGGAATGATGGTTGCCTTGGTTTTCAGCTTTTGTTAGAGCAAACTATCGGAGTAGATAAACTTCCGCTGCGATGCGCACGATGAATTCGTGAGGCCTGATTTGATGGCTTGGGAGCAAGAGATGCTTGACAAGTGGGCTGACTTTGATCAGATTGAGGTGGGCAGGCTCACAAAGGCTGCAGTTGAGCTGAAGGCCTTGGTTCATCATCAGATGCATGTCATACAGGAGGACACGAAACGTGAGAATTCCGACCTTGCCAACGCCATGCTGCTCGGTGTGGATGCGATTCGCTTCCTCATGGGTGCAGATGAGGTGGATGAGCAGGATTCGGAGTTCAATTTGATCGATGACTTCGACAAGCGCTTGGATGAGATCGAAAAGGAAGCAGATGGGTTGCGGGCCCTGAAGTACTCCTGTCCGAACGGGCGAACTTGGAAACACGCCTTCTCGGTGACCCTGGCATTTCCGAGTCCCAGGCTGCTCAGAAAGTTTTTTCAAGTGACAAGCTCAACTTGAGCGAGAGCGCGAGCAAGATGTCCAAGGTCGATATGTTGAAGCTTTATGGCTTTTGTCCCATTGTCCATTCCTTCAAGGAGGCTCCTGCTGTCGATAGCGGCAAGAGGCGACCCTGGTGCATGAGCATTCGGGCTCATCATGTCTTAGGTGCGATCATCGGAATCTGTGGCTTCGCCTTGATGATCTCGCTGTCCCCTCAGGGCGACTCCTTCACGTGGGTCACGTATTACTTTGCAAACAAGCCGGCATTGGTCGGCGAGCGATGCTCGCAGACCACTTCTGAGGGGACCCCGCTGAGTCCATGGTGCATTGCAGAGACTGAGGTAACACTCACCCGCTGGACCTTGCCTCCGAATCACGGCCTTCCGGACAACACACTGGTCTGGTTGTGCTTGATCCTCAAGGCGGTGATTTTTTGCATGTTGGGCGGTCTCTTCGGCATCACGGTGTTCAACACGGTAGAGGGCTTGCGCTGGGCTCAGCGCCCCATGAAGATCCTGGACTTCATCCTGATGCGCTGGATCCACAAACGGCAGTTCTCCACTGCGCAGTTACAGGCCTGGAGTATGGCCCGAGCTTCAGTTCTCCACAACGATGTGCGCTTCCTGTTTGTTGGACCGCTTCGAGCAAGTGGTCATGTCCTTGCTGATCCGTTGCGTGGTCCTTACCACCGATGCTACGCCCAACGGAATCATCTGAAGACCCTGGTAGAGATGAAGGAGGCGCGCTCTTGTCAACACAATCAGTTTCTGCTGCACGACTTTCGAGTGTGATCGTGTTGTGGCGTATTCATCATGCTTGAGGTTAAATTGGCCCTTGCCTTTTCAGTCTGAACATGCATGCCAGCGATGCTCGATGTGTGAGGCCTCGTTGCTCGAAGCAGTTGGCCCTGACCTGGATTACGTCCGGTCCTTCCTTGATGTGATGGTGAAGAGGCTCTCTTCAGGAGGCGGGTGTGTTTGCCATACCCTGATACGGCTTTTGTTGTCGTGTGACAGCCTATCCTAGCAGAAGATGTCATTGAGTGCAGCACGATTTTTGCGGTGCTCTGCCAGACCAAGATGTTCTGCATGCCCTTGAATCCTGTGCTGCAGAAGACCTTGCTGGCCAACTTCTTCACCTCCGTTCTTGCAGTCGCCGGAAAGATCTTGTTTGATCCATCTCTTTTCGGCGAGACGTGAGCTTTCAAACTACGAAGGCCTCATATCATGGTTTCACATTGACTAACAGGCAAGCAGGGCCTTCGGAAGTCGGTTATGATGCTGACTTCATTCATCGCGCTGGTTCGGACACGTGCCTTGAGCATGGATGCAATTCTTAAAGAATGCATGGCGCTGCCAACCCATCGCAGGCAAAGTCTAGCAATGGCTCCTTTCTCTCATATGCTGCCAGCAAGCGCTCTGGCGACCAGCTGTCAAAAAGGCCCTCCGCGATGCAGTTCAAAGACAGCGAATAGCATCCCTTGCCGGGTGAGGCTCAGCAGCCTCGGTCATAGGATGTCTTGGGGTCCGTGGTCCCAGGTCCCATGTTTAGGCGTTTCATTTTGGGAGACATGAACTAGTAGGGTCCTAACCAGAAGGGCCCGCTTCCAGGATCTCCAACTCTGAACCGTGAGTTCGACAAACAGCAATCAGCTATACAAACTTGTCAATTCGTTTCCTTCGGTTTCCTTCACCTCATGGAGGACCATCAACATTCCGGTGATGGCTTCGATCTTGGTCATCCGAGATGGCTGGATGCTTCGGGAGGTCGGTCTGGTGTGCCTTTTGGCTTCTCGCCTGCATGAGACGGACAGGGAGGGCTTGCCGAAACCCTGCACTTGTTCCAGTCCGCCATGATATGACAGCATCAGGCTGCTTGCAAGCTCTATAGAAGTCTTCAAACGACGAGCCCCATCCCGAGAAGCCTGCGCTGCTTCAGCCCCTGCCCTTGCCGGAGATCTTTGCGCCAAAGCTTCGTATGCATGGGCACATGTATGTACATGCGTACCGATGTACTTGTGTAGGTACCTTTAGCTCATATGTATCCACGCATGCATGCATGCGTGCATGCATGGATGCATGCAAGTATTTGTGTTTGTTTGTGTCAGTGTCTGTCTGCCTGTCTATCTGTCGGTCCGCATGTCTGTACGTGTGCACACTGTTCTTATCCGAAAACTTGAGCCAAGGAAGGGTTGTTGGTTGTCATGCTCTATGTCGAGCCCCGGCAAGCGATTCATTGCTTGGTTTTCCTGCAGGCCAAAAGGGCAACAGGCCGACCTGCGAAATGGACGTACGCAGGGAATTCTTTGGACCACCAAAGCACCCTCCACAAAATGTTCCCAGGTCCCTAGTTTTGGCTAGCGTCCTTCGAAGCTCAAACCTCCACTCGCTTAAAGAGTTTCTTTGGGACGAGCTGCGTTGCTGTGGCTGCAGAAGGTAAGCCAGATGTCGCAGAACGGCTTGGCAAGTCCTACTGAGTGTTGTCTGCCATGGTCCAAGAATCCTCGAATCCGGAATCGCCAGAGTGTGACAAGCTAGTTGTGCTCCATGCTTCCACGGGCGATGGATGCCCGAAACCAAAACCGAATCAAAAGCACGTCTTTGAACCTCCAGCTCCCCAGCAAGTGAGGAGCTGCTCACTTGGGTGCACTCCGTGGATGCTGCGGTGGCCTTGCTGCGAGGCCGCTTTCCCGATCTTCGGCGTGCCCTCCCCTCGCTCCTGCACTCTGCCTTTCTATCGTCCTCGCCCTTTTGTATACCACTTCCTGTAAAAGCCTCGCCTGAAGCACGTGGCCTTATATCCAGTTTCAGGAACCTTCGGCAGACCCAAACCCGAAGCGCTGACTTGCCCGGCTTCTGAGTAGTAAAGCATGAGTACCTATGTAAACTGTACATTCTATACATTCGATGGTAGAAACCAGCCATAATAATTCTTTCAGGCCTCCAGCTTACGTCCGCCAAACTTCAAGCCCTAAACCTTGAAGCCTAACAAGCCCAGAACCCTAGATCACCCGACATCTTCAAACCTTGGAAACCCACAAGTCACGTGGGTCTATTTTTTCTTATCCCTGCTATTGCAGATCAGTACTACCGTTATCATAACTAAGACTGCTGCTCTGACTAGCAGCTCACTAGCACTGCTACTATCGTGCAAATCTTGTTGTTGCTATTCCTACTGTTTCTCTGTGTCCCTAAACCCTCAGCCCCAAAGCCTAAGCCCCAAGACCTGAAGCCTTGAACCGCCTCTGTGCCAGGTCTGCAGCTGGGGCGGGTCCTCCATCTTCCCCGGCTCTACAAGTGGGCTGGCCTCGCGAGGTGCGCGTGGCGGGTTGGGGTTGAAGGGTAGAAGGGTTTAGGGTCTGGGGTTGAGGGGTTAGGGTGCTTTCTTCTTGGGATTTTTTGGTGTGTAGGGCTTGAGGGTTTACCGTGCTCGCTTCTTTTTCTTCGGCGGCCTGAACGGTCAGAACGGGGTTTAATGCGAGGTGTTTTCAGGGTTTTGTGACAGGGGTCGTAGCAGTTCGAGTATACGTATTTGCTTAGTAGCTGAATGAGTACACTTTACGCTTCTTGGGACAATATGACCCCGTGTAGAACTGAAATTGTACACTTATGAACTCAGCAACTAAGTTTGGGATTAAGTATATGGGTTGACAAGGAGTCTGGGGGTTTACATGGTTTGGGTCTACTTGAAGAATCGGCGACCTGGTGGGTAGGGTCATAACGCGGATAACTACACTTGCTGTTTACAACCCTAACTAAGGTATCCTGAGCCTGACAAGCACCAACACACAAACCCTGAACCCTCAGCCCAAAACCCTAAACCGTAGGCCGTAAACCCAAAGCCCGAAAAGGCATAAACCCTAAGCCCTACAGGGATTAACACATCTCCCGGCCCAAGCTTTGCGTTTCCTGCGGATGCAGGCCAGTGTCGAACTGGATGCATCGGAGCAGCCGGGAGGTTCGTGCGCTGGTGAACATGCTGCTTTCGATGGTCTTGACGCTGGGACTTCAGAGCTTCTGCGAGGTCGTTTTGGGGTTTAGGGTTTAGGGTTTAGGGTTTAGGTTTTAGGGCCTTTTGGGTTTAGGGCCTTTGGGGTGTAGGGTTTCGGGTTTTGGGGAATTGGCGGCTCTTGTGATGATTTTAGGCGTTCTGTGGGGGGGTTTGCTTGATTGGTATGCCAGGTCGCAGGAGTTCGGTGTTGTTGGGGCTTTCGGACACCTTGCCCCCAGGCACTCGGTGTTGTGAGACGGTTGCTGTTCGGCTGTGAAACATTAGACCGAACCCCCTCAAACCTTGAAGCCGGAAACCCGACACCAGGAAACCCTAAGCTCGGAAGCTTAAACCTCAAGCGACTTAAACCGCCAGTTTTGAGCAATCCTGAAGCTCTTAACTGTCTTAACTGAACTTGTAAAGACTTTTCTAAACTCTCCGAGCCTCTGAGGGGCGTATTCTTCTTGCACGTGCTTACGTGCCTGTGGTTCTTCGTGCGCGGCTTGGCGAGTTAAGCATTCAGCGAGTTGGGAGTTTATGATGCCGCCTTTCGCGATTCGCTTGGGGATGTCATTTCGCCACCCCCGACACATCTCTCGCGCAGGCAGCGACAGGGAGAGCCTGGAGGGCCTCTCAGCGCAGGCATGTACAGACCTGATCCCGAAGCCCTGCAGCGACTATGCACAGCTCCGCTTGCCTATGCAGGAGCAGTATCGGATCACCTTGGAAACGGCTATGGCCCGCCTTCACCCAGCCGCTCGCCTTGTGTTGGTGGTGGGGTTGCTTGAGGATCGAGCAGCCGACATTCCTGAGGGTTCAGTGTGACTCGGCTTCCTACAGGTGTTTCTGCCTTTGAAGGTGCGGACTGCCGAGAACATGCTGCTCCCCACGCAGGTCGAAAGGCACCGGAGACGGGAGGTTATGAGGGCGTCCAGTGATTGTCACAATCGTGACTCAAGGTAAGCTTTCCCAGCACATCGGCCATCAGAGCTTCAGGGCGGATTTTTTGCAGAAGCGGCGACGGCAACACCTAAAGCCACCATGACTCCAAAGCACAGGTGGAGATGCCGCATGCCGCACCCGGAACAAAACACGCTGCAACAAGAGGAGCCCCCTGAACACAGGGTGGTCGCGCTCTTGGCCTCTGGATCAGCGTGCCTCGGTGCAAGGTTTTTTTCGCCAGAGATTGACAATCGAAAAGATCGGAGGCTTGCTATGGAGTTTTCTTTCAAAGCCTCGAGTTCTCCGTTGGCCTGCATGAATGTCGCGTAAGAGTTTTCGGAGGGAGTTTGTGGGTTTGGGTTCCTTCCAAGAACCAGGGAATTTCTTTTCTTCTGCTTAAAAAAGAAGCTTTGAATATCTCCCAACATCAGTCCTTAGGGTTCCGTCTTCTATGCCCCAAATCTTGTTCTTAGTAGCTATGAAGGCGCCGAAATTGCATCGGGGCCTTCAGCCGCATCCGCCCCACCTAATCCTGCTCTCATAGTGATGAGGCCTCCTCCTGTCAGAGGTTCAATTTGTTTTTGTCGGTGTGAGCTATATGCGCCCTTGCTGGAGAACTATCTACTTTGTGGGAGTTAAAAAACAAGGGCCCTAGCGCAGACCCCGAAGCCCCAAACAGTATCCCTGCCACAAGGTGCCCCAGACTTCTCACCGAGCCCCTCGCTGAAACCTGGCCCTTGAAAGGCTACTTTTCGGCTCCATGTTCGCTTCCCTCGTCACCAACGACTTGGCGGACTGCCTTGCGTTCTGAGCTTGCTGCATGCTTAGGACCGGGGGTGGGAGACGTGGGACGCCGGGGGCAGGACGTCCGGCGCGTGCGGCGCTTGCAGAAGGAGACGGTGGCATGAACGCATTGGTCCTGCAAGTCGCAAGCTTTGAGCTCCCATTCGTGGTTATTCCATGGCCTCTGAGTCCTCAGCTGTCGGTCACCCTAAACCCTAAACCCTAAACCCCATTGTAGGATCCTTCGGTTCGGACTATTTCCAAGGCCCCTGCTCCGTCTCTCCTCTGCGTTAGGTCCACCAGGTCTCCGACTACTTGAGCATCTTCCCCATCCCCTGGGATCTGGAGAAGCAGTGCAAGGAGCCCTTGTTCTTCGCTCGGGTTTGATGATTGCTTTCGAGGGCTTGCAGAGTTTCGGTATCTGGTATCGTTTTTGTATCGACTTTTCGTGTCGAGCTGCAGCATAGAAAGCCCAGCAAAAAAAGGCGGAAGCTGATATGCCGTAGGCCCAAAAACTCAGAAGTTGCTATGCGTTAGGAACTTTAGGCCTTGACCGCTCTGACTGTCGCAGAGCTTCGAGGACTTCCTCCGGACGAAGATGGCCAGCCACGCTCCTCCGTGCAAGGCGCCGCCAAGCCCAGGGCCCGAGCTCTTTTTTGGAGGGGACGAACTTGACTGAACCCTGTGACCCTAAACCCTACCTTAAACTACCAAAACCTACTTTTTTGTAGGGTCCCTATAAATTCTATATATTAGGGTTTACAATAAGGACCTACAAAAAACTAGGTCATGGTAGTTCAAGATAAACTTAAACCCCAAACCCTAAACACCCCCTCCCCCCTATGTAACCCCCTTGAAAAGACCTGTGCAAAGGAGCAAAGGATCCTGGGGAGATTTCAGGGAAGCACATCCCAGGGCTTAACAGAACCCTGAATGCGAGGCTGTGGAATAAGTGTAGCGCACTGATCCCGAAGGCGGAGATTGCCCAGCTCTTGCCGGAATTCTTGCGCCCGGCTGGCACTTGCTGGGAGTTTCTTCGGAGAACTCGACAACTTCCTGGGTTTAGGGTTTAGGGGTTTCGGGTACTTCGTGCGAGCTTGCTTTGAGTCTCGTTTGGCATCGCAGTGCAAGCACAAGGACGACGGCCTCGCCTTGCGTATCCATAAGCAACACATCCAATACGCGCAATGGGTCCCTGAGTGCGACAGTCTTGAGATGCTAGCTGCTAGCATGATGTCGGATGTGTCGTGCTGTAGTAGGATCAGGATTTGGGATTCATAGATGCTTGTAAGAGCCGTCAGCCCCATGAACAGAGAGGTACCATGAAGTTTGTTGCGAAGCTCTGACGCCAGTCGTCGCGAAACACGACTTTTTCACGGGATTGTGCCGCTTGGATGAAGTCTAAACACCCCAAATCCCTAAACGTCTCTAAACCCTACTGTAAGCTCTACAGCCGCTAAGGCCCTAAAGCCCCTAAAGCCCCTAATCCCTTCTAAACTCAGCTTTCGGCGTCTGGCCCGAGGTTCGAGCCATGAAGCGTTTCGGCACGATCTCTGTGTTCGTGGACTGCAAGACTGGCAGCTTGGCTGGAGATAAGGAGGAAAAAACGCTTCAGCTGCGACCTTTGGGTTTAGGGGACCTTTGGGAGGGTGTTTTTTTTTCTTTTAGGGTTTAGGGTTTAGGGTTTAGGGTTCAGGGTTTAGGGTTTAGGGTTTAAGGTTTATTGTTTTTCGGTTCTTTTGTCGAGCTGTACTCTGCTTGCCCATTCTGCCGCCTGCCGCTGCTTCGGCGCTTCGGTGCTTCGGTCGTTGGCTTTGGAGATGCCGCAGAAAGCACACATTTTTGAAACAGCCCTTTTTTTAACATCAGTACTTATAATATCTCCGCAACATAACTATACCATTACTGTATCATTACTATGTGATTCTCCAATCGTCCTCTCAAAGTCTCCGAGGAGGTCCCGGCTCCATCCCCACCGGAAGGCAAGGGAAAACCCACGCTGACTCTCAGCCGCTGAACCTCATAGAATGAAAGGTCGCACAACTCCTAAAACACCACGTTTTTCGCTTCCTAAATCATAGAAATCCCGTTGAAAGCACCATACTCAAAGTCTTCTCGGGGGAACACGGCGCCCACCCCCCCCCTCCCGTAAGGAACGTGGAGCCCCACGAGGACGGGACGAACTTTAGCGCAGATTGCGGTTTGGGGGGGCAAGGGTGTGGGGCAGCAGGGTTAGGATTCTTAGGGCTCAGGGCCTCGACTCCAGGGGTTTAGGGAGGGTTTGGGATCGTTGAATCTTGGAGATCCGTGTTCGCCGGGGCAGGACAGGGTTGCGTCTCGAGGCACTGCAAGGGTTCGACTAATTCGGCAGGACATATGTTGTGTAGCACCAGAAGTTATCGTAGTATAACATACGCCAAAACGCTTTTCTGCATTCTCTTGGTCCTTGAGAAGGACTCCTTCCTCGCTTAGCTTCAGTCAGGTTTAGAGGTGTAGGATTCAGGGGTGTTGGGTCTTCCTTCAGGTTCTGCTCTTTGAGATAGCGCTTTGAGGTTTTTTCAACGGCTTCAATGCACCAAAGGCTTGGACCCTACCACAGGAAAATTGCCTCCAAAACCCTGAACGCCCCCTGAAAGCTCTAGCCCCCTAAGCCTAAACCCTAAACCTGCTTCCCGGCGCGGAGGTGCTGCTTTCTGCGGGGCTGAAGTGTCCGAGCATGCTCTTCGTTGCGCACGGCTGCTCGGATCATTCGGGGTGGTACCTTTAGGAAGCTGAGGCCTGAACTTCAGGTTCCCAGGAACAGGAGAACCCCGCCTGAAAGCGTTTAGGGTTTCGGGTTTAGGGTTCAGGGTTCAGGGTTTAGGTTTTAGGGTTTAGATCCCTGAACTTTGGGATTCTCAGGGTGTCTGCGATATTAGTGGAAGAAGCCCAAGAGCTCTTCGCCTGGAGGCTGCGTCCTCTACGGCCAGCGCTTCTGCCGCCAGCGGTCTTTCACCGTCGTCACCACCTCGGCCGCCTGGGCCCCGGCCTGCAAAAACGACTGGAGGTTGGGATGCTACCCCAAAGTCTTTAAAACCATAACTAGGAAACCCTACGGCCCCTAAAGCTCTAACTCCGGAAGCCTACTTGAAGTCTCGTGGGTAATAAGTTACAGGTGATAACGAGTGTTAGGCTTTAAAGTGGTTTATGAGTCTAGCTGTCTTCACTACGTACTTACAGAATTTCGAAGGAAGCCAATGCCCTAAAAACCGATGTTGTGTTAAAATCCGTATAGGACCTCGCAAAATCAAAATCCTCATAGAACCCTACTTGCTAAGTCCCTTGATCCTTTTTCAGTAGACCCCGAGCCCCTGGCTCCAAATCCGTACAAAATAAACCCTTTTGTAGAAAGCTTGTAACAGTACTCCCATTGGGCCTTAAACCTAAAACCCTAAACCCCAAAGCCTAAACCCCAAACCCTAACCCTAAACCCTAAACCCTAACCCTCAACCTCAAACCCTAAATCTAAACCCCAAACCCTAAAACTTGAACCC